CCTCGGAGACTTTGGGGGACTGCCCCAGGGATAAGATCTGGAACACTCTCTGTTGAGCGAGCTATTAGCTGGCTCCCAGTGAGAGAACTCCTTTACTCTGTGTTGTCTGATATATATATGTATTCTCCAATGTATACCTTCTCTCATTTCTGTTTGCTACTGATTTGGAGAAATAAGTTTCTTGGGAAAAAAAAACACCACAAAACAAAAAAAGATCAAACCAAAACCAAACAATTAATATCCATATTTTAATACTTTAATTTTATCTCCTAGATTATATCTTGGACATCAGTAGCATTTCAGAAAGGACAAGCTGATTTTTAAGCCCAAATGTGAAGTCTGTACTATTTTAGGGCAGCAACTTGAATATTTGTAGATTTTGAGTGATCTTTCAAAATAATATAATATCCAGGAAAGATATTATGGACTGGGAGTAAATAAAATGAGATAACATTTGTAAAATACTTAGCACAGTGCCTAGCATATATAAATGCTTATTCCATTTCCTACATCCCCCTCTGCCCACCTCTACCCCCTTTTTTTAACCCGTTCTGGTATAAGGTTTTTGTGCTTGTGTGGCAGAGAGGAACAGTAGAGTGCCATCTGCTGACTAAGTCAGATATTGCATTCTGAGTTGTTCAAACCCCTTGACTGGAATTCCCTCCTCCCCCCCAATGTGAATGCACAGTGAGATCAAACTAAATATCAATACCCCAAGTGAATGTTGCACATGGATTCCAAAACAGAGTAGACACTTCTACCCAAGATACCTCTTATTTCTACTTCATGAACCAGTTCCTTCCTATTGGTAAAACTCAAGTCTAGAATAATATTTACCTCATTGCTTCTTCTAACTTTTGAAAAATTAAAGCATTAAGAAAAGTTGAGAATTTGTCAGCAACTTTGCTTTTAGGAGATAGAACTCTGGAAGCTATCTGGAGAGTCTAAGTACCCTATCACTAACCTATGCCTTCATGTCAGCTTTGTGTTCTGTTTCTATTTCTCATTCACTTCCTTCATTTTGACCTGGTCTGTAGTGTCCTGCTACCAACAATATTGCTTTGGTGAGCTTCTATTGGTTCTCACCAAATACTGTCAGTGATACTTCTTCCTTCTGGTCTGTAGAGTTCCTTACAGGAATATATTTTCTTTCTTTTTTAAAAAAAAATAATTAATTTTGATTTATCAACAATCACTTCCACATGCTTCTGAGTTTAAAATTTTTCTCCCCCTACCTCCTTACCACCCTCCCCAAGACGGCACACAATCTGATATAGACTATACATATACATTGATATTAAACATATTTTCACTTTGGTGATGTTGTAAGTAAGAATTAGAACCGATAGGAGGAACCACCAGAAAGAGGAAACAAAACTCAACAGAAGAAAAAAAAATCGCAAATAGTATGCTTTGATCTGCATTCCAACTCCATAGTTCTTTCTTTGGATGTGGATAGCATTTCAGGAATATATTTTCTTGATGTACAATAAGTTTACCACTACCTTCTTCCCAACTTAATCTGTTTTTTTCATACAAAGTGTACCTTTCCATATGTCTTTTCTGATCATGAGTCATATCACAGTAAGTTTTTTCTCTACAAATTCAATTTTGCCTTCTTACATTAAGATCTTTAGAATAGTTTATTTTCTACCTTTTTTTGTTGTTGTTCTTGGTATTTCTGCTTAGATAGCTGACTCCATAGGAAGTATTAACCCCTCCTTCTTGTATACTGTTTCTTGTCAATTACTTGGCCTCTCTATTAACCTTTTCTTTCCTATGTTATGCCTAATATGTGCTGTAGTATCGGACTTAATGTTAATTTCTTTCCTATCTCTCTTTTTTTCATTTTGAAGCCCTCTTGATCAGATCTGTAAGTCTCCAGGCCAATAATATTTTTTCTGGTACTTACAAGACGTCCCTGGTCAAGGACCTGTCACTCGTATCTTAAGTCCTGGCAATGCTCCAGGACTTTGTTGTCAAATGATGAGAAATCTCTGCTCAATTTCATTTTTTTTTTTGTCAGCATATCTTTTCCTCTGTTCATTCTGTGTTAATTTTCAAAAGAATTTACTGATTTGGGGTATGTGTGTGGGGGAAGATTTTTGTTGATTGAATAGTCAATCACATTTTTAGTAAAAATAAAACATAAACACCAGAACAACAACAACAAAGTGCAGCACTTGTAACTTCTGGTCCTTTTAATCACAATTACACATAGCTGTAAGCAAATATATACACTTCATTTTGAGTTCTTTCATTTTGAATGATTTTACATAGACTTTTCCCTATTTCTGTATACACTTCATGTTTGTTCTTCTTAATGCCAATGTGATGCTCAATTTCATCAATATATTCCAGCCTGCCCTGTTATTCCCCAAACTTTGGACATGTAGGTATTTTTTTTAGCTAGTGTAAATGTAGCATACTAAGAAATCTCTGCATAAGCAGATTGTCTTGTATTTTGAATGCTTTCCCTGTAATACATTCCTAGTAATGGATAAGATCAAAAGACATGATTAGATTGTCGACTTTTATTGTAAATTAACTGATAGCTCTCCAAAAAGATTGTCCTTATGTGCATTGCCACCACTGGCATTTGAGTGTACCTGCTTCCCCACACTCTGCCAGTAATGGACTTTATATATTCTATCTCTCTCCACTCTCTTCCTCTCCCCCCTTTCTCCTCTCTTTTTCTTCTGTTTGTTAATTTAATGTGAAAATAGAGGACAAAATATTATTGATCTTTCCTAACTATTTTAATTTGCATTTGTTTTAACATTTGATCATTTTCTCACTTTATTATTTATTTTCCTTCTTTGTTGAATTGTTTTTTAAAATCCTTTGACTATTTTTGTCCATTGGAGATTGGGTGCTACCATCATAGGCTTATATTGTATTACCTATACAATGTGGAACCCAACATTTATCCATCATATTTATCATGGATATTTTCTTTTTATCTTAGTTTTATTACTTCTTGTGCCGTGAAAGTTTTTAGTTTTTATATAACTGAACTTTATATACTTGATCTATAATCAACGTTATTTCTGCTCATTTCTGATGATTCACTTGTAAAGATTTTATCTCCCTTTCATCACTACATCACTACATTTCTTTAGACTTTTATGAAAATGTTATTTCAGTTTCTTTGGAATTTATTATAGTGTTGGAAGAGGAGTGACCAGACCAAATTATCACCATTGGAGTGATTTCCTAATTGAACAAAGGGAAGGGGCATTGTTTATAAATTTAGCTATGACCAAAACCCAGGGAGTCAGAAGCCTACCAGAGCCAAGTCCAGTACATTGGGTCCTGAAAAGGACAGATGCCATTTGGGGTTGGCCGTAAGAAAATGTGGACGTCAGGCCAGATATTAGGGCATTCCTGATGCCACGAAGTATCTGATTGGACTGACATATCCAGGGAAACTAAACAGAGCAAGAAATCTTTTTTGGAGAGCAACCGAGCAATTCACAATGAAATGTGAGAGAGCCTATTCCTGGAAAGGTAATTTTGTTAGTGCCTACCATATGCTGTAGTCTTATATAACTTTACCCTTCCCTTTTAAATAAAATATCAACTTAAATCAGTTAGTTTGGGGTTTGGTTCACAATTGTGAACTAGAGGATGAGATTGGAACAGGAAATTAGGGACTGATCAGGGATTGAAGCCAGAATACTGAAGGCGGTGAGAGAAGGGTCAAGCTGTTCTAGTTATGAAATTGGCAGGGACCCGAGGTATGTTCTCAAGGTTTGCAAGGCTTCAGCTATGCCTTGGATGGAATGCTTCAGGAAGTCCCCCAAAAGACAGTGCCTCGATGCTTTTGTCATGGCTAGGCCGATCAAAAAGGAAGGCATGTGTTCAACTGTTATGTAACTGATTTTGGCTCACCATCCATTGGGGGAGTGAAAGTGCATACTGAAGCATATGCTGGCATCTGACGCTTTGCGAGAAGCAAGATGTTAAGAGTGGAAAAAACATGGGGATTGTTGTCAGAAGCCTTGATTTTAAGTCTCAGCTCTGATACTTATTGGCTGTGTGATCACTGGCAAGTTCCTTAACAACTTTCTGAGGTCTCATTTTCTCTTTTTTTGGGTAATAATAATAATAAGACAAGACTTTATGCTGCCTGACTCACAGAGTTGTTGTGAAGTGATTGCTTTTTGTAAACACGAAGTTGTATATCTCTATTTCTATTTCTATTTCTATCTCTGTCTCTATATCTTTATCTCTATTTAAATAATCTCTATCTCCATGTATTTCTCTATCTGTATCTCTGAGCTACTGCTCTGATACCTCAGTGTTGTTTAGAGGTGATAATGGGCTTTCGAAGGCAATGCCATCCTGGCATAAACTCTGGCAGATTCTACCAGGGTAGAAAGACTTTAAATAGTCCTGGAGACAGTATGCAGCTACCCTCTGAAGACTAGCCCAGCTAAATATGGAGAGGCTCATTTTAAGAATGTTAGCCAGAAGACAATGCTTTCTTTGGCCATGAATATCCATGAATCAAATAAAAATATCTTAAATATCATTGTTGTTGATAGAAGCTCTGATTAGTAAGCTCTTAGGCATTATGTAGCAAAAAATCTGCTTCAGCCGATCTTGGTAACTCACTACATCCCTCCATGTGGAACATTGCACTCAGGATAATTTTCTGACTCAGTTGTAATTCAGACTTGCATTATTGGATACATTGGATTTATGAGCAACAATTCTATTTCTTATATTTATATTTTACAATAATATCATATATGAGAGAATCACAAATTGAAAGCTACCCTCTTTCACTGTTACTACTATTATTTTAAATTAAATCTAACTTGTAGTTTTTTTAACTTAGAGACCTAAATATAGTTTTTCTATGCCAAACTCCCCCATAAGCGTGATTAAATAATCCCTCTGTGAGTATATCTTTACTTAGTTTTTTTGCAGTTTAAGACCCCAGTGTAATGCTGCTATCCTTAAGATATTTTCCAGGATTTAAAACTATCTTTCTACGAGCCTATTTTCTTACATTCATAATGTACAATGAATTTTGTAGATCCTTCCTCATCTTGGCACCCTTTCTTTAAAATCAGTTTAAAAATGCCCTTTTTTTCCTGCTTACATGCCAGGTAGTATTCTGAGTACAAAAAAGATTTAAATTGCATCTTGTCATCATGGCCTGGAATTCTCTCTTGGTAGAATAAGACATCCTGTTCTTTGCCATCAATTTTGTCTGGGGCAGCACCTTCCTGTAGAGGAGGAAAAAAAAAAAGAAAAGAAAACATTCTAGATGTTGTTATTATGGGCCATAGAGAGTCTGAGGAAGGAAAATCCTTGTATAGATACCACACTGAGGCAGAGACTTCTGTTAGAATATGGGAAGGAAAGTCTCCGTGTATGTGAGTTACCTCCATGAAATCATGTAGCTCCATCCTCTGTGCATTCATGCCCCTTATTACACTTTTGGGACATTCCCTGCCTCTCCTCTACCACCTAGATGAGACTTTATCTGCTGCCAGGCAGATAGCACTCCAGGAGGGCAATAGTCACTTCAGATTATGTTCCTCCATCAGTAGGGACTGGAAGATGATCCAAGTAACCCCCACTGCTCCCTAGCCCCCACCCCAGGCAAAATTTTATGGCCTAGCTGCTCACTGTCCAATCACCTCTGGTCATGCACTCCAATGTTACTAATTGACCAGGTGAGATGAGACTTTATATCACTCCTAAACACTCTGGGAGATTCTATAACATTTCTTAATGTTTAAAAAATTAATATGGTCGTGACCTTGGAGGCAGCACTCTGTCTGGGCAAGCCACTCACCTTTCCTATTCCTTGACCGTTATGTTGAGCACTTCGGCTTAGCACTCTTCTCCTTATGCACAAGTGTACCTATGCACTCTTGTGTGGGTGCACACCCACCCACCCACACATACCACACATATCACACATCACACACACCATACCCACACACCCATCACACACACATACACAAACATACACCACACACACACACACACACACACACACACACACACACACACACACCCCCTCCACTTAATAGTAATTCCTCCCTTCTTCCCTCCCCCCAACTCAAATCTTTCAATTCCAGGAAAAAATTCTAGACCAGATCATTAAAAAGATAGTTGATGAGCATCTAGAAAGGAAAACAGTAATTGCAAACAGCCAGCCTGACTCTGCCTCTGAGTTGTAGGTCTTTAGCTGGTACTCACTATAAGGTAAAAAAGATTGAAATTTTGCCTGGCTTGTTGAAATCAGTTTCCTGACTTTGTAGTCCCATGCACACATAAAATCAACATATAGATCTCCCCATCAGTACAAAGACATCTCTCCCTCTTTTTCCAGGCACCTCCCTTAAGCTGCTGTTTTGTGAAATGCAATGGGATGAGCAGAAGCTAGACTGGTCTAGAATTGAGGAGAGCCCAGCAGCATCCAGGTGGCACAGTAGATAGATCTCAGGCCCCAAAGTCAGGAAGTCCTGAGTTCAAATGCAGCCTCAGACACTTCCTAGCTGTGTGACTCTGGGCAGGTCACTTAACCCTGTTTCCCTTACTTTCTTCATCTGTAAAATGAGCTGGAGAAGGGGATGGCAAACCATTCTAGTATCTTTGCCAAGAAAACCCCAAATGGGGTCATGAAGAGTCAGATGCGACTGAAATAACTCAACAAGAAGAAGAAGAACCCATCTAGTCTTCTATTTCATATCTGTGTGACTTTGGGGAAATCATTAAACCTCTTGGCTTTATATTCTTCATCTGTAAAAAGGGGAGTTAGACTAGATGAGTCCTAAGGTCCGTTCTAGCTTTGAAAAGTCAGGTTCTGTGTTTTCTTGCATTTCCTACCTCACAGAACTTTCCAGAGAACCAAAGGAGATAAAATACTTTGTAAGCCATAAGGCCTACACAAAAATTAGCTATTGCTTTTCTTTCTCCCTTTGATCTTGGCCTTGGTGTTCACTTTAGCCTAATTTGGTCTGGATCAAAATTGAATGGGGAGGGAGAATCCTGCACAGCTTTATTTGCCTTATAGAATGTTAGAAGTGGAAGAAACCATCAGCTAGGCTCATTCTAAGTGGATTTCATAGCTTAAAACAGGGGTCATTGGGAAAAAAAAACAAAACCCCAAAAACTTTTCTATTTGACTCTGAGATACTTTAAGTGATTTTCTCCCCCTTGGGCAGATTTGCTTTGTTAACTATCTTTAACTGAGGGCAATAGCTATGTCTTTGTTCCGGTATTTGGCAGATATCCCATGCATGGAATGCACTCCCCCATCTCTTTGCCTCCCTCAAACCTTTTCTTAGAATCTCTAGTTTCTTTTATGGCTTAGCTCAAATGTCACCTTCTTTGCTTATCCCCTCAGTTGCAAGTACTTCTCTCTCCCAACCCTATACTTTGTATCTATTTTTTATATACTTATACTGTATATATGCATATATGTTTATATGTGTACACATATATGCATATATGATGTATAAATATAGGACAAACATTTTTTCACTTTTGTTTTTGTATCTCCAGTGATTAGCATTGTGTCTAGTCCATAGTGGGTGCTTAATAAATGCTCATAGGTTGATTGATATTTGGAGCACACAATGGATGTGTGAATAATGGAGAATTGACTGCATGGACATTCATTCTTGAAAGGGTGATGGTCTATGCTTTTGAATTTCCTGAGTGAGAAAGATATATGTCTCCTTTATGGATGTGGGTACTATTTACTATCTATGTGAGGCAAACATTTGAGATCTATCCAGGAATGACACATTGCTGGGGGCTTTGTGAACTGACCTAGGGTTGTGTTGCTAGTTGCCCTGGCAGTGGTGCAATGACCAAAACTCTAGGTGTGGAGTTGGAAGACCTGGGTTCAAATTCTATTTTCTACCTTGGGAAAGTTATTTCACTCCACCCTGAGCCTCAGTTTCTTCCTCTGTAAAATAAACTGGGGAATGGGGGTGCTAGATTAGATGACCTCTAAGGTCCTGTCCAGCTCTAGAGATCCTATTCCATGATATATGTGTTAGCTAATTGTGTAGATGGTGTGGATTTTGCAACAGGTACTGGGCACAGACCCAGCTATGGTCCCAGCATATAGCTGATGCTGCTCGTTGAGTTAGGCAGGTATGGACGACTCTCTGCTCTTATGGTTCCAGCCTTTGTTCTTCTTCCTTTGGGAACTGGATTTGGACTTTGAAACAAGTTATTTTTTTCCCCAAGTTTTCCTAGACATGAAACTAAGGACAAACGGGCTCATTCTTACCTTAAAATGAAGTTTTTTGTCTTTGCAGGAGAGTGTATAAGTCTTTTTTTCAGTCTTCACAGAGATGGCTACAGCTAACCCTTTGGGGAGGGTCTCTTTATAATGTTGTATTATAAATTGAGTCCGAGGTGCATTGGCTGAGGATAAACATTTATAAATTAGAGTTCTATTCAGAAGAATCTTTACAGCTCTTTAGCTTTTAAGAATAGTCTTTATGGGATAGTCACAGAAGGGACTATGAAAATATTGATTTTTGTGTGGCTTATTAAAATAAATAAGGTAACTGAGATTTGGGATAAAAGTACATCCTGGAAATAATAGTCTAGAAAGCTTAGCATCTATCCCCAATAAAATCCTTTAATGGATTGAAGGCTTTTTCAGCCCAGTTCTTCTAGGAACTAGAGATCCATTTAGAAGTCATTACCAATTATATTGATTGATTTTTTTTTTTTGCTGATATTACCAGAGGATCTGGTCTTGTGAGTTTATTGGGATAGGGAATTCCTGGCTGAGGGATGAGTGATCTTGGTGACATCAATGCAAGTTGGCACCTTCTTTGCAACTTACAGTCTTAGGGAGGTGCCTAGAACATTGAAAGGTTAAGTGACTTTCCCAGGGTCTCACTGCCTATATTTGGAAGGATTGGGACAAGAATCCAGGATCTTTCTCCATGCAAGGCCAGCCCTTTCTCCACCATGCCATACTACTTCTTTTTGCTAAAGTTTTAAGATTAATATACCAGAAGAATTTTGTATGTATGCATGTATATATGCATACACATCCATTTATGTGTTTATATGTGGATGTGTATGCATATATATGTATATATTTCAGCACATCATTTGACAAGTCTGTTTATTTTTGTGGATAAGAGTAAGGTGGGCTGAATGGTGACACAGCTGGTTAGTTTTGTCATTGGTTAAATATTGTGCTGTATTTATTAATAGATCAGGCAGGGTTCAACTAAAGACACAGGTTTAGTAATATGCCCTGTCTTTGGCCATATTTTTATGTTAATGACCTTGATAAAGACGTAATAGTAATGTCCAAAGACGGCTCAAAGTTTGGAGGGATAATTATTATCTTGGGTGAAGGAATTAAGATATAAAAAGGTTTCAATAAGCTGGAATAATGGACCAAAATCAACAGGGCTAAATGTAAAGTCTCTCATTTAGGTTAGAAAAAATGCAATAGCCCAAATACAGAATTGAGGAGAACAGGCTTTCAGTTCATATAAAAAAAGACTAGAGGTTTCAGTTGACTGGAGGTTTAATATGGAGACTATCAAAGAAGTCAATGCAAACTTAGGCCACTTTCAATAGAGTTACTGTGTGTAGATTAAGGTAGGTATGGTAATAAATCCCCTCTTCATTTTGTCTGAGTCATATCTAGAATGCTGTGTTGAACTCTGGGTAAAGCTTTTAGAAAGGACATTAACAAGCTAGATTTCTTCTAGAGGAGTATCACCTGGATGGTGGTGTGGGGAGAGGTCTGGAGACCAGGACATTGGAGAATGTTTGAAGGAGCAGAGTACATTTAACCAGGAGAAGAGGAGAGTAAGGAGTAGGGCATGGCAGTGATTTTCAAATATCCAAAGGGCTTGTCATGTGGAAAAAGAATTAAGCCTATTCTGTTTGGCACTCAAAAGGAAACACTGGAACACTGTTCTGGAAAGTCAGATTTTGATGCAGCATGAGGTAGAGCTTACTAATAATTAGAGCTATTTGGAAATGGAATGAGTTGCATTGTGAAGGAGCGAATTATTGAAGGTTCACGTAGAGGTTGGATGACCATCACTAAGGAACACTTGTAGAAAGGCTTTCTGCATTAGGTAGAAGGCTATAAATCAGACTAGATAAATATTAAGATTCCTTCCAATTTTAATATGCTTTGACATAATTCATTTAATGATTGCAAAGGCTTCTATTTAGCCAATGGGAGTCCATACTAACAGCATGCTGTGGATCAGATTACACTCTTTATTCTCTACAACAGATCTGTATGTGCCAGCTGGGATTCTCAAATGAAAGCCCTTGCAGTGTGCTCAATAATCAAAACCCACATCAACAGCCAGAGGAATAGGTGCCCTTTGTTATTAATGGAGTTGAGCTGGACCTATTCCTTTCCCTTCTTTTTAAGTTTGAGGCTAGCAAGGCCTGGAGAGGTCATTGACAACATGGAACAGAGGGAAAAGGGCAGCAGTGGTATGTATGGTAGAGAGATCACTTATCCAAGAGTCAGGATAGATATCTAGGCTTTTAGTCCTACTTAATGTGTTCTTTGACCGTGGGTCATAGCTTACTCTTATGGCCCTGTTTTTCAAGGAAGGATTTTTCTCTTCCAGGAAGTGAGAGAAAAACATCTCTAAGATCTTTTCCAGTCCTTTAATTCTCAGATTTCTGTAATGGTGGTTCAAAACAAAAACAAAAACGAGCAAACAAAAAACCCAAACATACCTGTAATCTCTGAATCAGACATCTCCTCAAATACAGCCATTTTCCCTTCTTTGACTATTACAAGAACTCTGCCCTTCATGTTTCGTAAGATGGCACAACGGTTCCCTTTGGGAATCTTGCTGAATTCCTGTTTAACTGTTTTAAACAAATATGCATTAAGTACACACTTAGAAGTGAGAGATTTTCATGTCTATTAGCAAACCTCTCTTAAATTTCAGTTCTCCAGAGTGATTAATGGTAGTTTCCTGATACAGAAGAATCTATGATAAAGTGGGGTTTCACTTTTAACCCTTTTAACAAGAGAATGACATACATAGAGAAAGGTGCATTCTTTAAGGAATATGAATGACTGCCTCAGCAACACCAAGCAGAAAACAGGAAATTCCTTCCTATCTATAGACTGTACGTTCCTTGAGGGCAGGGGCTATTTTTAATTTTTGTCATAGTCCTTTGCACCAATAATGTTTATTAAAGTCTTGTTGAATTGAATTAAATTGAGAGTGTAAGGAGCTATTCAGGGAAATCTCTTGATCAATTTGTTTGCATTCTGGTAAAGCCTCTGAGGGACTGATTTACTGAAACCCCTCCCCCCAGCTTCAGAGATGACAGCCTCTTAACTAATAATTATAGGAAATGACAGCAGGTAGGGAAATGGTGACCTAGGGATAGCTCCTGAACACAGACTTACAGAGATAGTGGAAGAAAACATCACAGTTGCATATGTTTTCAACAAGGTAGCCCCAGAGATGTAAACTACTTGGCCAAATGGTGTGTATTACTAACTCATAGCCTTCCAGAGAAAGAAGAGGGAGTTCCTGGCAGCACCAGCCTTGTCAGAAGATAAAGATTATGCCTGTAGCTGTGCACCTAGAGGCCTGAGCCAAGGGACTGAGACATGATATGGGAGAGTTTCCAGTTACCATGAATTATTAGGACAGTGCAGGGCCAGTGGGAAGAGGACTACCTTTCTAGAAATTCCAAGTTTGTTTTACAGTGAGTAAGTCCAGACTTTAGGATAGTGTCATAAACCTGGAGCACTATCATATCACTGAAGTAGAAAGTGAGACTCACTGGAATATTCGAGAGTTGTCTCTCTAACAACTTCAAGTTTATTTTTCTTCCAAGAAAAGTCTAAGGCACAGGCAGTACTATGTATCTGAGGGACTATACATCCCTGAGAGGATGGTGTGTCTCACTGGAGCAGGAGGGAGCCATTGTATGTGGGCTACCATGAAGCCTTTATGTATTTTTTGCGTTTTCTCTGGTGTGAAATAAAGGCTTTCCTATTCCTGATGTGTATTATTACTTTTAATGCTTGTTTGGGAACTGGAGACCTTCTAACCTAGATCTTTAAAAATTAGACACAAACTATTTTATTTTGAGGTTTCTAGCAGAACCTCTGAGTAAAGGTAAAACAAAGTAAAGGGATAGTGATTTGGGGGGCTGTCTGTGTAAGCAAATAATTTTGAGTCTTTGATCATGAGTTACATTATGGAAGAATACTTAAGAAAACTGAGAAACTATTGACATTGAATAGCGCCAAGGGACTGATGGAGGGACCAGGGCTGAACAAAGAAACAATCATTCCCTCCTCCCAAAGGGGCTATCTGCTATGTGTTTGCTTCTCTTATAGAGATTTGCTGGCTAAGGAACCAAGCAAAAATAAGGTTCCTCTTGTCTAAATCATTTTCCTTGAAGGAAATCTCCCTCCTTCCCTCCCCACCACGTCCTCCCTTCTCCATTTAGGGACGGTCTACTTTCCTGTCTTTAGGCGTGTCTCCCTATTTCCCCTATGTGGGCTCCAAAGACCAGTCTCCAAATCTTCTGCCCCATTCTTGAGAACCATGACTTTCTGCTTGGATGAAGCCAACATGAAAGTATACCTTCACCTCACATAAGGGAGGTTCAGAGAGCCAAAGTGTTTCCAGAGCGATGGTGAACACTTTGCCACATTCTCCTCTCTCCCTCCTTGTCTCTGCTTCCTGACTACCCTGACTTCTTTCAAGTATCTGCTAAAAGACTACTTTCTGCCAGAAGCATTTCCTAGTCTCCCTCAATGTTAAGGTCTTCCCTCTGTGAATACCTTCAGTTGATCAGATATGCTTATGTATGTATGTATATGTGTGTGTGTAATCTTGTTTGTACATAATTATTTGCATGTTTTCCTCCCATTAGATAGTGACTCCTAGAGGACAGACACTGTTTTTTTTTTCCTCTTAATTTATGCGTATCCCTGGTGCTTAGCACAGTGCCTAGCACATACTAAGCACTTGTGTTTGCTGACCACTTTATCTTTTGCATCAGTGGTCCCAATGGGAGTGACACTGAATGCATAAGGTCCACACCCTTTTCCGAGAAGGAATCCAGCTTCCCAAACCAGATCTGCTCCAAGTACAGACAATATCTTTCAGTTCTAAGTATGTTGGCAAAGGCAGGTGGCTCTGTGCTGCCAAGCAACTCCCCCAGTTTAGACAGAATAGTAGAAAAAAATTAATTCACTCTTTACCTGTCTCTTCAGCTAAGGAGAAAAGAAAGAGAAAACATTCCATTAAATTCTTGGAACAAAACAAGCACATTTTCATTTCTTAGCTCTTTCTTTCACCCTCCCCCTCTTCCCTCTTTCCCCACCATTTTCCATAGCTTCTATAGCTGGGTACTGTCTCATTTAGGAAACCTTTTCCAGAGAACTGAAAGGATTCCATTTAGGTCCAACATCTTAGGAAACTGAATTGTGAAATTTTAATTCAAGTTTTGTAAATTCCAGCTTTCAGTTTCCCATAGGTCAGAGGAACTGTCTTTAGATATTTAATTGCTTTTATTCCTTAAATGGAGATACTTCCATGGTGGAGGGAGGCATAGGGAATGAAAACCTATCCATAGAAAATTATGTGAAGTGGATTCTCTGGGGTAATCAAAATGATACCTTTTAACTTGCCAAAGTGTTTTACAAACAGGTAGCCTTCATTTAACAGAAAGTCACTTAAAAGAATTCTGGACTAAAGCATTCATAGTATGTCACCAATTTCCCAAGAAATATCACCTCTCAAACTTTTTGGAATTTGAGTGTTGTATGGTAATGTGGGCCAGATCGGTAGCTCTTATAAGTATTGTACTTAACTTTAAGCCCAGATTTTTCAGGTAGAATATATCTTCAATGTTACAATGGAGTCATTGGCAAAATAAGAATACTCTGCACAAGATGATGATAGGATAGGCACTGGACCTATAATTTAATTGGTATTGGGAGCTCCCAGGTAAGGAAATTGCATTCACCAGTAAAGGTCAGGAGCCTTTCTACAAATTATTTCCTAGAACACAGATACAATTTATGTGTCAGAGTCAGGACCTGAACTAGGTCTTTCTTACTCCAAAGCCAGATCTCTATCTATTATACATCATACTGCCTTTATGTTGACAATGATGATGATTCACTTCACATAGCTCTGAGGGTTTATAAATCACTTTTTTTTTTTCACAACAAGCCTTGGAGATGAGCAGTAGAAGAAAGAGGAGGGAGTGTTGAAGTTAGGAAGATCTGGGTTCAGATTCTACCTCAGGCCCTTGCTGGCTGTGTGACAGAGTAAATTATTTAATCTTTCTGAGCTTTAGTTTCCTAATCTATAAAATGAGGAAGTTGGGCTTGATAACCTCTCACGTCCCAAACTGATGAGCCCAAGATCTCAGATATTAAAGATCTTTACAACAAGCATTCTTATGTGTCTAAGTTATTTACTTATAGCTGTGGGTCTGTTCTGTCATTTAGATTTATATAGATGTGTAGGGATACTTACCTATTAAATAGAGGGTGTCGTCTCTAAGATCTAGGTCCACAATGTCGATAGAATTAAGATCGAGATCAAAGTTCATTTCTGCAGCACAAGTTGCTACTGGATGATCAGCTGAAGTTGCCATCTTAACACCTAGTGGAAGCAGAGACCCAGTGTTAAAGGACAAATAAGGTTCCCGTGACACCTCGTACTGTCTCCGAATTTTCTCCTTCCTTATATTTATTAGAATACTTTGTTTAGACTTCCTCCTTTCGCACCATCACATTCTACGTTGAATCATGTTTATTTCTGTAGATGTCTGATTCCCCTTTCCCCTCAGATAGATAGTAAGTTCCTTGAGGGCAGAGACTATATAATTTTTCCCTTCTCTTTTTTTTTTTAATTTTACATTTGTATTTTTTTTTTTGGACTGAGGAAATCATAGAGTATTTGCAGTAAGGACAGCCCAAGTTGAATGTTGTGCTGGGGCTGGATGTTTTTGTTGTCATTGAGTTGTTTCACTCTCTGTGACCCTATTTGGGGTTTTCTTGGCAAGGATACTGGAGTAGTTTGCCATTTCCTTCTCCAGCTCATTTTACAGATGAGGAAACTGAGGCAAACTGGGTAAAGTGACTTGCCCAGGGTCACATAGCTAGTAAGTGTCTGAGGCCAGATTTGAACTCAGGAAGATGAGTCTTCCTGACTCCAGGCCTGGGACTTTATCCACTTCGCTACCTAGCTGCCCTTGATTCTGCATATTGTGTTTCTAATCTGTTCTATGGATTTTTTTTTTTAACTATTATCAAATGATTTTAATTATTTAATTGTTATCTGGTCCTAAGAGATACTCTTCCTTCCCATCTTGCTTTTTTTTTTATTAGCCTTGAAATTCTTTTATTCTCCAAAATGATTTTTTCCCCCCTAATTCTACAAAATTGTATTTTGATAGTATGATTGCTATGGCACTGAATAAGAAAATTAATTAAGGTAGCATTGTCATGTTTATTATAATTGTTCAAACTGCCCATGATAATATTTCTCCAGTTATGTAGGTCTATCTTTATTTCTGCAAAGTTGCATTCATACAGTTAGTTCCTGTATATATCTTGGTAATAACAACAATAATAATAGCTAACATTTATGTAGCACTTACTATGAACTGGACATTGTACTAAATGCTTTAACAATTATTATCTCATCTGATCATCACAACAGCTCTGAGAAGTAGGTGTTATAATTATCCCCATTTTAAAGATGAGGAGACTGAGTTAAATAGAGGTCAAGTGATTTGCCCAGGGTTACGCAGCTAGTTAAGTGTCTAAGGTCAGATTTGAACTCAAGACTTCTTAATTTCAGGTCCACCAGTTGAGCCATGGTACCACCTAGCTGGTAGATAGACTCAAATATTTTTGTGCTTTTTGTAGTTATTTTGAATTAAATTTCTCTTTCTAGGTTCTTCTTAGGATTTTGTTGGCAATACATGGGAATACTGATGATTTATGTGAATTTATTTTATATCCTGAAGCTCTGCCAAATTTATTGTTTTATTAATGTTTTGGTTGACTTTGTAGGATTTTCTAAGTAAACCATCATATCATCCACAAAAAACAATAATTCTTTTCTTCTTTCCTTATTCTTATTTTGTCAGTTTGTCTTTCTTGTCTTATTGTTGCAAGCAGCACTTCTATTTCTATGGACAGTTAGGTGGCACAGAGGAGAGTCATAGCTTTAGAGTCAGGAAGACCTGAGTTCAAATCCTGCCTCAAACTCTTATTAGGTATGTGACCCTACATAAGTCATTTAACTATTACTTGCCTCAGTTTCCTCATGTGTAAATAAAATAGGGATAATAATAGTATCTTTCTTTTAGGGTTATTGTGAAGATGAAATGAGATAGTATTCATTAAGTGCTTTACAAACCTTAAAATTCTATATAAATACTGGCTATTAATTATTTCCAGGACTATGTTAAAAAATCTTGGGGATAACTAATATCCCACCTTTCCTCTTGTTCTTGTTACATGTAATAATTTGTTCTTGGTTTTAGATAGATAATATTTACCATATTAAAGAAAGGACCACTTATTCCTATGCTTTCTAGAGTTTCAATAGAAATGGGTACTGACTGTATTTCATCAAAAGATTTTTCAGTATTGATGGAGAAAATCATGTGGTTTATATTATTTATATTATTAAAATGTTTTATTGTATTTATACTCTTCCCCATGTCAAACCATCCCTAAATTCCTGGTATAAATCCGACCTAGTTATGGTGTATATTTCTAATATATTATTGTAGCTATCTTACTAATATTTTAGTTAAAATTTTTGCATCAATGTTTATTTGGGATATTGATCTATAGATTTTTTTCTCTATTTTGTCTTTTCCTGTCTTTGGTGTCAAGACCATATTTGTATCATAGAAAGAGACTGGAAAAGTGTCTTCTTTCCCCTTTATTGCAAACACTTTATATAATATTAGAATTGATTATTCTTTGAATGTTTAATAGAATTCACTTATAAATCCATCTGGACATGAAGCTTTATTCTTTGGTAGTTCCTTTATGGCTTGTTTAATTTCTTTTTCTGATTTCAGATTGTTTAAATATTTTGTTTTTCTTTTTGCAAATATGGGCATTTTATGTTTTGTAAATGTTCATTCATTTCCTCTAAGCTATTATTTTTGTCAGCATATCATTGGGCAAACAATTTCTGATAGTTTCCTTTATTTTCTCTTAAATTGTGAATTCTCCTTTTTCATCTTTGATATAAATAATTTGGTGTTCCTCTCCTTGAAAATCAACTTCCCTATTTATTTAAAAAAAACCACAACAACAAACCACTACCTCCTCCTTTTATAAATCCAGTGCTTTTATTTCAATTTTATTAATCTCTCTTCTTTAAATTTCATAATTTCTACTGTGTTGCTGTCAAGCAGCAATTCAAAGTTTTTTGGATTGTGTAAACAGTTTGTTGATATTAAGTTTTTTCTTTTTTGATGAGAATGATATGAATTTTCCTCTAAGAACTGCTTTAGCTACATCCCACGAGTTTTGTTGTATTGATTCATTATTGTCATTTTCTGAGATGAAATTGTCTATTGTTTCTATAATTTGTATTTTGAGTCCTACCCCTAGTTCCTTAGAATTGTGTTATTTAGACTCCAATTGCTTTAAAATTTGTTCTTCAAGGGCCCTTTATTGAATATAATTTTACCAACTTTGATCAATATGTTCAGCATTTCAATTTTTCTACATATTTTGGTTAGGTTTTTATGCCCTAATACATGATCAGTTTTTGAAAAGGTGGTATATACAACATCATGTAAATTCTTTTCAATTCCCATTCAGTAATCACCAGAACCTATCACCTCTTATTTTGCTAAAGTTCTGTTCAGGTTCTTAACTTTTTTTAAAGATTAGATTTATCTGTGTTTGAAAGGGGGCACACTGAAGTTCTTCACTATTATAATTTTACTATTTCTCCCTCCAATTTGATTAATTTCCTTTACATATGTAGATTTTTGCTTTAGCTTCTCATTTGAACTCTATGTTAATCTTATATTTCAAGTATATTTCCTATTAACAACAAATGGCTGGATTCTGTTTTCTAATACATTTTGCTGTCCTTTTCCACTTTATGGGTTAGTTTATTCCATTCATTGTTACAATTGACTATTAATTCCCCTCTATTCTCTTATCTTATGCTTTTCTCCCTCTTTATAATCCCTTTTAATTCCACCTTTATGTTTCTTCAAGAGTTGACTTGTTTTGCTTATTACTTTACCTTTCTGTCCTCTATCTTAAACCCTTTTGTAATCCTACCTTGTCTCTGTCCCATCCTATTTGCCTAATGAGTTTAATGTATTTATATACCAAGTTAGTTATATGTATGTTTGTGTATGTATATGTATGGGTATTTGTAATTGTGTTCAATCTTCTTTTTTTCTGATTCAGATGATAATGAGATTTATAGGTTACCTGCTCTACCACTTTTCCTCCATGATTAAATATTCTTCATTTTATTTATTTCTAGTATGTGATGATGATGTCTCACACTATCCTCCACCTTTCTTTGCAATTATAGTCCCATATCTTTCCCAGTTTTGACTTCTTCTGATGTCATCAAAGCATAATGAAACCACCCATAAGCTCTCTGTTATATTTACCTTTTTCTAAGACCCTTAAAGATATTAAGGTTCTGAGCAGATGTTTGTTTCTTATCTATTAGCACAAAGACAGATCACCCCAATGTATAGCCTTCCAATTAAATTAATGTTTGTATCTTTGTATGTTTCTCTTGGCTCTTGTGTTTCCATTTCCAAATGTCTACTTAATTCTGACCTTTCTATCAGGAATACTTGGAAATCTATTTTATTAAAAGTCCATTTTTTCTCTTTAGAATATTAATTAGTTTTGCTAGATAGGTTATTCTTGATTGTTAGCTTTTTGGATGATCACATTCCAAGCTCTTTTCTTTTTATTGGTGGTTGCTATATCTTGTGTGGACCTTATTGTGGCCCCTCAGTACTTGATATACTTTATTTTTGAATTCTTATAATTTTTCATTGACTTGGAAGATCTAGGTTTTGGCTATGGCATTAGTAGAAATGTTTCATTTTGGAGTTTCTTTCAGTAGGTGACCATTACATTCTTTCTATTTTTACTTTACCCTAAGGTTCTAGGAGCTTGAGATGGTTTTCATTTTAAAATGACTTTAAATATAGTATCAAGCTTTTTTTTTGTCATGATTTTCAGATACTCTGATAATTCTTAGATTATCTCCCTTTGACCTTTTTTCCAGGTTGTTTTTGATATTATATTTCTTACATATTCTTCCATTTAAATTTTTTTTTTAAAAATTTTGGTTTAATATCTCTTATTGTCTCATTGAATCATTGTTTTCTCTTTGGCCCATTCTAGTTTTCAGGACATTCAGTTCTTCTGTGAAGATTTCCACCATTTGTACTCTTATATTCTTTTTAGCTAGGATATATTTTTTTTCTCCAAAGCTTTCTTTGGAATTTTTGTAGGATCTACCTCATGGGCATTTCTCAGTGCAAGGTATTTCCTCATAGTATTTAGCATTGCCTTTAGTTTGTTCATCTCAGAAGGTGCATTGTTTAGTTTGGGGGTGGTGATGCTG